TCTCTATCTCAAGTTCAAGATACACATAAAAAGTTCTCTCTCTCTCTCTCTCTCTCTCTCTCTCTATATATATATATATATATATATATATCCATCTATCTATCTATCTATCTATCTATCTATCTATTTATTTATCTATATTCAACAAGAAAAAATAATTTTAAATTAGTTATATATCGTGTTGGTATTGCGGATTGGTAAATTGTATTTCTATCTAGAGAATTGTAATTTTATTTATTACTATCAAATCCAGTATCAACTACTTATCTTCTATTCTAGCATTAAAATGTACACTAAATATTGAACTAAGAAAAATAAAATATATTTAAGTAAATGTTCATTGTCTAATAAAGGAAAAGAAAAAATCAAACCAAAAACAAACTTAACAAGTGAAACTCAAACTTCATATTTCTAAACAAGTCAAACCTAAGCTTTAAATTTGGCACTTTTAAGAGCAAGTGCACAACTTGTTTATAACATTTATTATGAATTAAAATCTTTCCTTGGTCCATGTTAGCTTTTCATACATCAACTGTATCAAATTCAATATAAACAAGGAAGAAAATTTTAATTTGATTGAAGTCAAATTTTATTCAATAAAGAGAAAAACTTTGCAATCAGTGTTATTATCAATAGCTGATTATTAATCCATTTGGATAAAGTTCTCATGTTTTAAAATTAAAAATTAGACACCACATTAGTTGAAAGTACATATACACCATATCCAAATCTGAAAAGATACCATTCTTCTAATTTGCAAAGGCATGGTTGCAAGTATAGTATACAAGATAATAAGATACATAGCTGCTATTTCTGAAGAATTTAGGATATAAACTACTAAAAACATATTTACATACACAAAAATTAGTGTAAAATTACATTAATATGCTTTCATTGTACTAAGAACAGAAATGCAAAAACTTTAAATGCTTTAAAGGAGTTCAAACATGTTTGCATGGTCACCATGATCGACCAAAAAATATTAAAAAGAGCACCTACGTGGGATGTTTGGTACAAAACTACAGATACATACCCAATACAGAGAATATAGATACAATTGAAATTTTGAATAATGCATTTAGCTGATGTTACATAAATAAGCGGCACAGAGCACAATTTTGACATTTTCACTTTTCACTCATTGGAAGTATGAAAATCAACACCCTTTCAATTCAAAGCAATCTGACAGTTAATTTATAGTTGCACCAATTAACAAGTTGATTTTACACAACTTAATATCTTCAGAGTTCAGACCAGCCTGATATTAATTTTTACTCATTTTCAATTGAGCAATTAACGTGAATTCAACCAAGGTTTGTTTGCTACAGTTCTTATGAGCAGGGCACGTCAAATGAACCCAGTATGGAGTCCAGCACAGAAAAAGGTCCCACAGTTCATACGTTGTCTCAAACATTTTTTTTTTATATTCAACTATTACTGCTGAAATAGATAATCTAACAAGATATAAGTAATATTAAAAGAAAAGATAAATCTTGTATTGTATATTCCCATTGCAATAATGGATCATCAGATGATCACTGTTTTAAGAACGCACCAGGTGATGTATGGGAACAGCAGTCAGTGTTCCAAACCGGCCATTGATGCGACCAACAATTTCATGGACCTGGCTTGTAAGCTTTTGATCTGTAAATATGAAAGAAATAAAAAAAGGTTATGGGCAAATTATGGCTGTTGAATATATAAAATTATTATTGGGCTTCCCCCTAAACTGCTTAAGATTTTTGTAAAGTTGGTCACAACACCAGTTAAGCATAATAACACATAGGAGTGTCAAAGTTGGGTTGACCCACATGGCCCATATGTTGTCAAAGTTGACTTGGGTTCACTTTTCAACCCACCAACCGCACAACCCAACAGGTTAAATGGTGGATTGGGTTGACAAATTGGATTAGTCCAATTTTTTCCTTGACTTCTATCTATTGATACTGACTCTTGATATTTTATTTGTGGTTCTTTTGTGTATTAAGATTTATTTATGATTTTATTTTTATTGATAGACTTATTGGTGGTTGTAATTTAGACTAATTTTAATGTTGTTAATAGACTTATTTTATTGTTATTGATGAACTTATTATCCCATTAAACATTTGATTCATTACTAGTTTTATAACATTTTTCTCTTTTTTAGTTATATTTTATCATAAATTTTGAAAAAATGGATTCAACCCAACTCAACCCTTTTTTCAATAAGTTGGGTTTTGGCCCTTTCCCCACAAAAAAACATCCCAAACTGTCACGAATATAAAAGGACTGCTGAATCTCTTCCTACTAGCTTAAGCTTTTGGGAGACTCTTTCTTTAACATGGTACTATGGCCTTTATGACCAAGTGGTCAAAAGTTTGATCCTCGCCACCACGGCATCACCTAACAGCATAAGATTTTAAGAGAGCTAGTATTTAACACATACTATCAAAAAGGGGAGAAAACTGTACAACTCAAGACCCCAAATGTTGGACTCAATAATTGAAAACTCATAAGTTGTTATACATTTACTAGAATTGTCTAGGTTATAGACCAGATTGGAAGAACAATATATCAACTACGCAGGTTTCCCCCTAACAAAAAAATTTCCTCCTTCAAAACTCCTGTAACAACAAAGTGATACCCTAACTACCTCCTACAGGTCTGTCATACCTTATATATAACAATATAACCATCACATCTTAAAACATAACTGGCTAACAGAATTTGGCCAATCACCCAACAAAAACACAAAATACATAAAATGCAGAGTAAATGAAATAGCATGATTAAATTGTTGTGAGCACATTATATTGATAATGTACCCAATTTTCAGTGCAACACATTTTTCATTTATGAAAATCTTTATACATGAATTTGAAAATGCAATATGTAAGCTTATATACTATTGTACAATGCAAGAAAACTCAAAAATGATTCATTTCTTTTTTCCATTTGTGTAAAAAGACTTTCATTTTTAACAATAAATATCAAAAACTACAAAGGAACAGAAAACATTAGATTTTCATTTCATATAAACAGAAAATTGATCTTCTAATTCTTGAAACAATAGGAGTATCTATATTGGGTCAGGATCCATTGAAACTATGATGTCAAATTAGTGAAATGACACCTTCAATAATTTTTTATAGAATGCAAATTTAACTGATCCAACTGCTATATTTAATAATATTAACTCATGATCATGCATATCATATTTCAAGATTTGGACTTTTCTAAATATGTTATCTAATAATGGATATTTACATGTATTTTCAATATCATTTTATATGTTGAAATAAAGTGGTAAGATGAATTACCAAATAATTTTAGAATTATATCCAATTTTGTATACTTGATATAATTAGTAATTGTTAGGATCGTGTAAATATAGTATGTGTGTATAATAGGATTAATTAGATTGATTCTATATTTATGTAATTAGCCAAAAATAGGTAACTGAATATTCTGTAATTATGTACTCTTTATTATAAATTCAATAGCTCCACAAAGCTCTAAACACGTGAAATTCATCCTATGCTCTCTTGTTCAACATGGTATCTAGAGCCTAACAACAAGTTGATTCTATGATATCGCGATGAACCCATCAATACCTAAAATTTTCTTCGAAAACTATGTTTTTAGTCTAGTTTTCAAATTTCCCTCCTTTGCTCATGTCACAGTGCAGTGTTGTCGCCACTACCAATTTATCTAATTAGTTTCATACCTTTATGGCATCTCATGGTGTTTTACATCAAACTTCTTATCCTTATACCCCCTAACATAATAGGGTTAATGAATAGACATTTTCTTGAAATGACTTGGATTCTTCTTCTCCACTCCCATGTCCCTCATCAATTATCGGGTGATGTTGTGCTTGTTGTGTGTTACATCATCAATTGCATGCCTTCTTCCATTCTAAAAGGTAAAATTCGCCATCAAGATCTATATCCTTATTATCCTCTTCATCTTTTACCTCCTAGGGTCTTTGGTTCTACATGTTTTGCTCATGCCCTTGGTCTTGGCATTGACAAACTCTCTCCTTGGTCTCACAAGTGTGTTTTTCTTAGATACCCATTGTTTTAAGAAGGGTACAAGTGTTATTCTCCTACTCTTTGCAAGTATATCATCTCTATCATGTTATCTTCTTTGAATTTGTTCCATTTGTTGCGTTTGGAGCATCTACATCTAAGACTTCTCCTTCTTTGACTGACTCTCCAACAGTCTTTTTTTGTCCTCCAAAGGAATCTCCATCCCCTCTAGACCCATCTCCTCCACCCTTGCAGGTCTATCAATGTTGTACTCATCTTGTATTGCCACCACAAAGCGCCAACAACGTTGCAGACTTACCTTAGGAGACCCCTCCTTTGCCTCATCCTCTAGTCCCTCCTCCTGAGTCTAATATTCCCATTGCACTTCGAAAAGTATATGTTCTACTCGTAATCCCTCTCCCCATTACATTTCTTTGAGTTATGACTGTCTTTCTCCTTCTTATTATTCTTGTCTTTCCTCCTTGTCCTTTGTTTCTATTCCTAAGAATGCAAGTGATGCCTTTGCCCATCCAAGATGGAAACAAGCTATGATAGATGAGATGTGTATATTACGGAGTAGTAGAACTTGGGACCTCGTTCCTTTACCACCTAGGAAATTTGTTGTTAGTTGTTGATGGGTCTATATGGTGAAGGTTGGCCCAAATGATAAGGTTGACAAGCTCAAGGCTCGTCTCCTTGCAAAAGGCTATACTCAGATCTTCAGGTTGAATTATGAAGGCACTTTTTCTCCAATTGCCAAAAATGCCCTCTATGTGACTATTTTTGTCCATTGCTGCTATTAGTCATTGGTTTCTCTATCAATTGGACATCAAGAATGTTTTTTTACATGGTGACCTTCTTAAGGAAGTCTATATGGAGCAACCTCCTTGCTTTATTACTCAAGGGGAGTCTTCTGGTCTTGTGTACTAATTGTGAAAATCTTTATATGGTCTCAAGCAGTCACCTAGGGCATGGTTTAGTAGATTTAACACTATGATTTAACAATTTGGCATAACACAGAGCGAGGCTAACCATTTTGTCTTTTATCGTCACTTTGTTGTTGGTTGCATCTACCTGGTTGTCTATGTAGATGATATTGTCATCACAGGTAGTGATCACTTTGGCATCACACAAGTAAAACAGCGTCTCTTCAAGCATTTTCAAACAAAGGATCTTGCAAACTCAAATATTTCTTGAGAATAGAGGTAGTTTAGTCCAACAATGGGATCATCATATCCCAAAGGAAGTATGGAATGGATATTTTGGAAGAAACATGAATGTTAAATTCCAAGACAATCGACACTCCAATAGATCCTAATGTCAAGCTCCTACCAAATCAGGGGGAGCCTCTGCCAAACCTTGAGAGGTACAGACGATTAGTTGGAAAGTTGAACTACCTCACTTTTACCAGTTCAGATATCTCATTTCAGTGAGTGTAGTACATCAATTCCTCAACTCTCCATGTAAAGAACATAGGGACTAAATGACTCGCATTGTTCGATATATCAAAGGAGCTTCCATAAAGGTTTTTTGTATAAGGACAAAGGACATAGTCAAGTTGTTGGGTATTCTAATACAAATTGGGTAGGCTCCCCTATTGATAGGAGGTCTACTTCAAGGTACTATATGTTTGTTGGAGGTAACCTTGTCTCTTTGAAAAGAAAGAAACAAAATGTTGTCAAATCTAGTGCAAAGGCAGAATATCGAGCTATGGCTATAGCTAGTCAGGCGCTTATATGGCTCAAACAATTGCTTTAGATCTAAAGTTTGGAGAGGTCACACAAATGTCACTTATATGTGATAATCAAGTTGTCGTGCATATAGTCTCAAATCCAGTATTCCATGAGAGGACAAAGCATATTGAAGTTGATTGCAACTTTGTTAGAGAGAAAGTCATGGCAGGAGAAATATCTACTAGTTTTGTCCGTTCTAATGATCAACTAGTAGATGTATTCACTAAGGCACTAAGGGATCCTCGGATTAAATACATATGTAACAAGCTTGGTGCATATGACCTATATGCCCCAACTTGAGAGGGAGTGTTAGAATCATGTAAATATAGTAACTGTGTATAATAGGATTAATTAGATTGATTCTATATTTATGTAATTAGCCAAAAATAGGTAATTGAATATCCTGTAATTATGTACTCTTTATTATAAATTCAATAGTTCCATTGTGCTCCTAACACACAAAATTCATCCTATGCTCTCTTGTTTAACAGTAAAATCATCAAATGTAATAGTTAGATCCATCGAATTTGCCTTCTATAAAAAATTATTGAAGTTGTCATTTCACTAATATGATACCATAGTATCAACGGATCCTAACCCCCCCTCCACACACACACACATATATAGACCTTATTTTACTTGCTATCTAAAGATGTAACAAGAGGAAAATGAAATAATAATAGTAGCATACACTCAGGAACATCTGTTCTTGTTGGCACGGCAATTTGAAGCAGAACAACTTTTTCATGCCAACCAACATTCTCTTCCAAAAACTTTTCAAATGCTAGAATTTTTTGAGGGATTCCCTTAATCATATCAAGGCGATCCACACCTAACATTACCTGTCAAGCACGGGAAAAAGGTTAAGGAATAATCAAATAGTATAGAAACAAATTAAAGTAGCACTTGGCGGCTCTAGGGGCCATAAGAGAATGTCATGACATGTCATGCCAAACAAATACAATTTTATAACACAGTCACTCTATTAATACTAGAAGAATGGAACATATTTTTTATAAATAAATTTTAAAAAATATCATATTAATATCACATAGTGATAGCATGAAAAATAGTTGGCACAGATTAATGCTGATAGCTTTCTGCAGAAACACATTGCAGAAGGATCTGATCAAGAAATGATAGAGTACCTCCAAACAATTTCAGCCCTCTTCATTTTGTAATAAGAAATATGAGATTTTGGTTTTAGAAAGAAGAAATTTTGTTGCCTAACTCTTTGCTCCTAAATCATTTCTGTTAAAGAATCTAAGCAATTTGGTCATCTGAAAATTCAAAAGACCAACAGATAGAGGGTCCTATGAGAAAAGTGGAATGGAAGATAGCCCGACTAAAACGAGTAGAGTTAGACCAAATAGAATTATATGAGAAAGCATTAAACAGGACCTTGATGTAAATGCTTTTTTCTAAAATTTTGGTTCTTGATAAAGCATGATAGCATGATTAGAAGTATCTAGCCAACCAGGGATGGATCCATAAGATGTATAAGGCAGGTACCAATGAAGTATTTTTTTTTAAAATACATATATTTATATATACACAAAAATAATTTAAATTATTAATTTAAACATTAATTAAAGTTTAAAAACTATTTAATAAAGTTTTGAAGCTTATAATAATAATTTAAAAATAATTTAAAAGAATTTGTATATTTTTTATTTTAATTAATTACTAAGGTACTTAATCTATGGAAGATATTGATAATACAAATAGTAGTAAAATGTATTTGTTTATTTTATACCAAATTTGTTTGGATGACCATGTTAAAAATTTAAAGTGAGAGTATGTGATAGTGATACATCTTTGTTGGAACTCAAACTCATATACAAAGCCTTTATTAATTTTCTTTCTCTCAGAATAGTTTTTATTCCTTCAAACTCATATATTATATATAATTTTGTATATACTAAATCCATGGAGGAAGGGGAGGCTACGGCACACGGGTGCCTTCCCCTGAATCTGTCATTGATCCAACCTCACCAATTGTAATAAGTAATAATTAATAAGGCTTGGTTTTTGTTATATTAACATGAGAAAAACACAACAGGAAACTAGGCCCTGCAAACCTAGCAAATGGAGGTTCTAACAGGTTAAAATTGCCTATAACAACCAATAAATTAAAACTGCAAATATTTCAGAAATTAACCTCTAAAATGAATTAAGCAAAGTCTATCTAGAGGGACCCATAAGTTGAAGGCAGCAACACTATAGTCAAATAATGATGAATAATTATGTGTATAGAGAAAGGACTTTGAGGTCATGTTGAATTTCTCATGATTCTATAAGAATAAATTATAAGGATGATGCCTTTTTTCTGTTTTCTTTCTTTATAATTTCTTCCAAATGATATTATGATAGCAAGTTACTCAAGTTGAAAGCATGTATCTATAATTCTTTAAAGTACTTAATTTATCCCAAATTTTCATTACTCTATTTAGTCCGTAATCTATAATAGAAAAATAATAAATCAGAGACAATCTCAATTAAGAGGACCTACATGTACAATACAATATAAGATATAATTTAAAACAGCAGTTAATACAAAGTATAAGATGCACCTTTCTTCCTTTAAATCTCTCTTGTAAATTTTTGATGTGTGTCTTGACTTGAGGAAGGTCAAGTGCACGTATGAAGCGTTCTGAGTCTATACCTATTGGAAACTGACATGCAGGGGTAAAAGAAGTAAATAAATAGTTCTAATGTTAAGTTCATCATGTTAACTGGTTTGGTTAAAGCCAAAGAATTGTTATAATAAAAATGTTTTATGAAAGCTTGCTGTAAAAGTTCAATAGATAATTTTGAATGTAGACAAGAAGCATGGTCATTATAGATGTATTTCATGAACACGTACTGCAGCAACTCGAGTCAGCTTCCCTTGATTCTCAACCCCTTCAGGCGTTCCCTCAAGTCCAAGAATGCGAGTACATGCACTAACAAAATGCCGTGCATAATCGTAGGTGTGAAAACTACTCAACAAAAATAACATTTATCCAAGTCAGAAGCGATGGCAACATAAGAAAATGAAAGTATTAAACTGGAAAATACAACATATAGCATAAAAGGAATCATAAAGTTCAGAGCCTAATGAGAAGAAAGCGTGTCAAACTGAACTGGAAATATAAGAACCTGCAGAGTCATTGATGTTGTAGACTGTCATTCAACACTATTATTTGGGCATTATATCTATGTATTATGTATGGGATAAACAAGATGTATTATGTATAGAATAAACAAGATGTGGTGTGGTCATAGCTTTAGCCTCTTTTTAGTTCAGAGGAACATGATTTTCTATCAATTGTAATTCGGTCCTCAAAATAAATGCTCGAGTTAAGTGGTTGACTGCCACCTCATGCATAACTAGTGGTTTATGGCTTGTACCAACAGTGAATTCAGCACAGGTAAAATGTCTTACTTATTGCTAAATAAGCATATATAGGCATATGGAGTTTTATGCACAACTCCTCATGCCCAAACCATCCAGGTTCACATAAAACAATCTTATTGCAAAAGCATGCCCATATCAAACACATTCTTAAGTAACAAAATTTGATGAATAAAAAAAACTTAAATAAAGGAACAAATTGTAATTTACCCAACCAAATCAGCTGCAAGAACAGCATGCAGGAGGTCTGAACGAGATGGCAATGTCCTGTGAATTTCAGAAGATGGAAATGGGGTATGCAGAAACCAGCCAACTTTCATTTTGCGGTTATGATTCTTTAAGCATTGTGGAAGAAACATAAGATGGTAATCATGGCACCAAACAACATCACCCTCTTCATAGTGCTTGTTTACAACGGCGGCAAACATTTCATTTGCTTTCTTATATGCTTGAAACTGAGATTGGAAACCTCGTGTGGTAGCAAGGCGGTCTTCTTGTGGAAGTCCAAGGTAATGAAAAAGGGGCCACAAAATGTTGTTGCAATAGCCATTATAATATTGATGAACAATCTCTTCATCAAGAAACACTGGGATACACCTCTGCAACACACGTAACAAGCAAGAGAACGATTAAAATAAAATATTAAAATTTACTTATGAAATGGCACAAAGGTAAATGCCAAAGTTATTTCTAACATTGTAATGCAGAAACTACTGTACCTTTTCGGCCAAAGCTTTTGTAAGTGCCTTTTGTCCAATCTCATCTGGCACATTGACACCAGCCCAACCTATCCACCTCGTCTCAAACTCATTCACACCTTTGTTTAAAGAAATTGTGGTGTTAGATAATTCTTTGCAAATTAGTATACCAAGTTCATGGCAAAATGTAACAAATGTATATTTTGGAACCCACTTTCTAAATCCGGTTACAGTTTAAAGCATTTAGCAATTTCAGAGCACAAATAGTAAAGCCTAAAAAATATAACAACAGCAACAAAACTTTATCTAAAGGTGAGGTTGGCTACATGGATGACAAAACATCCTTCAAAATTATAAAGGGTTTGTTTGATAAGTTTCTCTAGAAATACTTCAAGGAGAAAAAAATAGAAAGGAAAAATGAAAATAAACTTTTCTATAAACTAAATTTAACTTATGCATAAGTTAAAATTAAGATTTTGGAGAAGCTAATAGCTTCTACAAAAGTTCATGGAGAAATTTATCAAAATAAGTCCAAACTAAAAAGGGAAAAACGGAGAAGAAATACTATATCATCCACCACATACCTAAAAGAGCGCTCACCAAGCCACCAGCACTTATCTCCAAAGACCATGAATCCTCGCCTTTCCTAATTGCTGAGACTGGCAGCCTATTGGCTACCACCAAAAGCCGTTGTCTGAAAGGTTTTCCATCTTCCCTTACGCGGCCCTCACTAAGAGTCAGCGCTCCTTTCAGGAATCGTTCAACAGCATAGCAAGTAGCAGAGTTGTTATTATCTTCTCTTAAACGCAGGTCATGCTCAAAATATTCAGCAACCACATTATTATTATTATTATTATTATTATTATTATTATTATCAGGAGACTCATTTGAAAAACATGCCCTGCCGCTTTTCTTTTGCTCTCTTACTCTCATAAGTCGTTCATGACGACTTGGAAAACTATTAGAATTACCATTGCACTTATTCCCAGGGTTATGCTCACTCTGGAATCCAACCATTGAAGTCGAATTTCAATATTTAGCTGAAGTCAAACTTCCTTCCCTGCATTAAATAAAATAACAAAACAACCCCAATTCAGCCTCTAATGAAACACATTATAAACAGAGTGAAAGAAATTAAGCATTTAAAAGTGTCAACAAGAAAGTTTTCGAATCACGGAAAATCAAAATGAAACATATACAATAAAGAAAAAACAGCATCCACGAAATTACAAAAGGCAACAAGAAGGGGTGAACAGGGTGGGCCGATGAGTTGGAAATTTCACATTCATTAACTTGTATATATGCAACTGGAATTATCCGCATCTCTGGACTTGGTACATTCATGGAAATGGAATACAAAAAAGCAGAACAATAAGAACAGAGGAGGTGTTTTTTTTTATTATTTATAAAAATAACAAATATAATGTGAATGTTATATTGAAAATACTCGAGAAGCAAGAGCCGTCCATATGATGCGAATAGTGAAAACTTCTAAGAGCAGCAGTTACCGTGATATTACGAGCAAAATTATTCTGACTTGATGAGATGGAAGATAGCGTAGTAGGACAAAAAAAAAATATCAGAGGCGAATAGTGAAAATTGCATGAACAAGTTCAAATGGCCAGCTAAGGAGGCGCCTCGGAAATCAGGCTGAAAACAAAAAGACAATTCTGGTTTAATGTGTCAATTTACAGCTGGGTTAGGAGCAGAGGGTTTAAGTCATATAACGAGGCTACGTAGAGAGTGGGCAATCTGCAGAATCAAATGGTAGAAAAAGTGGGAGGAGAGAAAAAGAAAAAGCAGTAGAATCCTCGTGTAAGCTTTATAAGGCACATATAGCCTCATTGCCATGCAAGTGACACCCAGGATTGTGTTGAAAACAGAAAGAAAATATTTTACTCGAAAAAATGGATAAATTACTGGGCGTGAAAATTATTCTAGAACCAACCAGTTCTTAAGCCTGCAATGCAACTTCATCGTATTCTGGCCTTTTCCATGGCTTCTCTAAATTGAAATTTTTATTTTACAGAATCATACATTTATAATTATTAATAAAAAAATTAATAATTAAATATTGAAATCAAATTTAATATATAATAAATCTAAAATTAATTATAAATTTTTATTTATAAAAATTAAAATAACAACAACAGAATTCAAATATAAATTCTCTTGCCATTATTATATGTTATCTCTATTTTCTTTGTTATAAGAAAAGAAATTAATTTTTTACCAATTAAAAAATTAATTATTTATGTTAAATTTTATTATCTTCACAATAATCTTCTTAAATTATCTTATTATAAATGTTAGAAGAAAAAAAAGTTGTGCAATTAAAAAATCATGTATTGAAGGAAAGATATTTTATTATAAAAAAATATTATTAAATAATATAAGAGTAGTTAATATTTTTTGTATTTAAAAAAATATGTATTTTTATTTTATAAGAAGAATATCCTTTAAAAACTCTTTTTTCACTTAAAATTAGTTTTAAAAAAATCTTTATGAGAAAAAAAAAAATTAGCATTTCTCTCTTTAGACGTAATTTATTTATCCAGTAACAGTATGACAAAATTCAATACCAACTAAACAAACTCACTAAAACGCCCACTAGAACCAAAAAGTAAAAAAGAAAAATAAAATAACTTGCACGCATTATTAATATAAGTATTATTAATGTCTAATTAAAAATATAAGATTTTCCCAAAAGAAATATTGCGTGAAAAATTAAAATGTAAATATTTTTATATTATTGAATAATAAGAAATTATTATTAAAATAAATATTATAAAAATCAATAAATTTTATTCAAACATAAAAATAATGTTCACTTAAATTAAAGTCAAGAAAATAAATCAATGTTTACTTGTTGGTGTATTTTATTAAATGAATTTCACATTTCCGGTAAGAGTATTTATTTATAAAAAAAAAAAGCATATAAATCAATGTTTACATTTTATTAAATGAATTTCATGTTTTCTGTAAGAGCATTTACTTATTAAGAAGAAAAAAGTATCATATTCTTAGCACAAAGAAAAAATATTATTATTTTCTTTCGATTAACTAAATATCCTAAATTTAGACTGATAATACTATTTACCAACAAGTTATTTCAACAAATAAAAAACAAATCCAACAATTCCCGTAATATAGAGCTTCAGAGTGAGAATAAAATTATAAAAAATAATAAATAATAATATTGGTTTTAGACTCATCCACATATATGCATACATATTTTTTTTATATTAAATATTTCATATTAATATTATGATTATAAAAAAATATATAAATAAATATTTAAATATAATTTGATAGATAATGATTGTTAGTCAATGAGATGAATCACTTATTTATCCAAAAGTCAATAATATATATTAGCTGATTTAATGAAAAAAAATATAAATAATGTTTTTCATCCACATATTTGTGATTTGTTTTAACAGTAACAGCAATTTGTTTTTACTGAATGAGGAAAATAAATTATTTCTCCATCTCTACTGATAAATAGAGAAAAATGAGGTTAATTTTTTTATCATCATTAAATTACAAAATATTATATATGATAAATTTATTGATTTTAATAACCTAATTAAAAATAATTAAATTAGTTTTTAATTAAGATTTAAATATATTTTTTGTCTCTTAAATTTAAAGTAAATTTATTTAGCTTTCCATATTTAAAATCGATATTTTTAGTCTTATAATTTCAGAAAATTTTATATTAATTCTTATATTCAAATTTTGTTAAAAAATCTATTAAATATTATCATATAAAATCTATCTACTGATATTCTTATTAATGAAAATATTACATTAAACTTATTGATATTTTATAACTGTCTCAATTTGCTACTTTTAAATATATTATTGATGATTTGAAGAACTAAAACATAATTTTTGAAAATTATAAAACTAAAAATAATTTTAAATTTGAGAAACAAAAATAAATTTATCATAAATTTAAAATATTAAAATTATATTTAATTCTTTAATTAATTAACAATATAAAATTTATCAAACTCTAATAAAGTTAACTTTAATTAATTAACCATATTTTTTTTAACTCTGATAAGTATATCAGACCAAACGACACGGTGTAACTTTTACTAAGAGTTACACTACTCAATAACTTTATATTATTTGTGAATTTTGTAAATCCAACCGTCAAATTGAAAATTCATATTACTTTATATGTGTATATCAAATTTTGTTAAAATTGAATTACAACTCGAAGGTAATCAAAGTGTTTATATTTTATATTTTGAAATGAATATATTACGTCAATTTTGTTTTATAAGAATGAAGTATCAAATTATAAAATATAAACACTTTGATTACCTTCGAGTTGTAATTCAATTTTAACAAAATTTGATATACACATATAAAGTAATATGAATTTTCAATTTGACGGTTGGATTTACAAAATTCACAAATAATATAAAGTTATTGAGCAGTGTAACTCTTAGTAAAAGTTACACCGTGTCGTTTGGTCTGATATACTTATCAGAGTTAAAAAAAATATGGTTAATTAATTAAAGTTAACTTTATTAGAGTTTGATAAATTTTATATTGTTAATTAATTAAAGAATTAAATATAATTTTAATATTTTAAATTTATGATAAATTTATTTTTGTTTCTCAAATTTAAAATTATTTTTAGTTTTATAATTTTCAAAAATTATGTTTTAGTTCTTCAAATCATCAATAATATATTTAAAAGTAGCAAATTGAGACAGTTATAAAATATCAATAAGTTTAATGTAATATTTTCATTAATAAGAATATCAGTAGATAGATTTTATATGATAATATTTAATAGATTTTTTAACAAAATTTGAATATAAGAATTAATATAAAATTTTCTGAAATTATAAGACTAAAAATATCGATTTTAAATATGGAAAGCTAAATAAATTTACTTTAAATTTAAGAGACAAAAAATATATTTAAATCTTAATTAAAAACTAATTTAATTATTTTTAATTAGGTTATTAAAATCAATAAATTTATCATATATAATATTTTGTAATTTAATGATGATAAAAAAATTAACCTCATTTTTCTCTATTTATCAGTAGAGATGGAGAAATAATTTATTTTCCTCATTCAGTAAAAACAAATTGCTGTTACTGTTAAAACAAATCACAAATATGTGGATGAAAAACATTATTTAGCGGGGTGGGTATTAACATCCCCGCCCCCTCCCCGCCCCCTATTTTATCAATCAGGAAAAACCCGAACCCGAACCTGAACCCGATAAACACGGGTTTTCTCCATCCAAATCGGGGCGAGTTCGGGCGGGTACCCACGGGGCGGGATAAATTGTCATGCCTAGTTGAAATTTGATGTAAAACATGAGTTATTGAACGGAATAAGTATAAATAGACTTACTCCTGGAGTAAAAAGTCCCTCCTCTTATATATATATATATATATATATATATCTTTTACTTGATACATAAGTTCATATGTATATCCAAAGGTGAACAAGTTCCATGAAGGAAGAATCTCCATAAACGTAAAAATAAAAATAAATAAAATAAATATTAATATCTAGAAGATGACTCAACAACTTTTCATCATAGTATAGTAAAACCGAAAGCCAAATTATGGTTCTAACATTAAATGCAACATTCTCTTACACTGAGTTAGTAGTAAATATCAGAATTAGATTAAACTAAGAAATAAAAATAGATTTAACAGCGGTAAAGAATACGAAAACCATGATAGTAAACCATATTACATATGACTAAATGTGCAAAAAGGTTCACTGGTTCAGGGAGAAGCGACAAATAATAATTAACAGAGAAAATATTTGTAGCATTTTTAATATTTTTCTCTCCTGAATGTAGCAAAGGAACTTCGCATTATTAAATTGGCATAGCAGATATGTGAGATCAAACTTTTAATATGAATGACCCGTAAAAGGTATACACAAACATGATGACCATGGAATTTCAATAAACCATAAATTTGTCAAACATGCACGTAGGGTAGGTACCACAAAGCTTATGACCCCATACAAAAGACATATAGACAGCATGGCCGAGGATCTCATCAG